GTCCTTCTCAATAACCTCACTTTCTGCATTGGCAAGTAGTCAAGTGGCTCCTCGTGTAATTTACATCCAGCGACTGCCAAAAGATGCACCATATTTCAGAAAGTCTCCACTAATTGTCAATATTTATTTTTGACAGCATCCGATTTGGGATTTTAGTCTCATCAGTCCAGTGAAGAAGAACAGATTTCTACATAAACCATCTGTCTAGCATTTGGCATGAATAATAGGCTTCGTATTCACGCCGAATCCAACATCTCACAAGCTTCAACTTCTTCATGCCCGTTGATTGATTTTGTCCCAGTGCCAGCCTGCAGGTTCACGATTCCCAACAGCTGGTGTGGTGCAGTTAGAACATGGCGACTTGTGGGATGCACTCAGCTCTGAGTATATTTGGAACCGATATTAGGAAAAGAGCACCTCAAGTTAAGTGCAGTGTATGTTGGCATTTTTCTGCGGTGGCTTGCCTACTCGTGTACTTCCATTATTCCAGCTTCTTCATGCCCTTTTGGAGTTTGTTATAAAACGAGAGGACAGAGTCAAAGCCGGAGGAGAAATTTCTGTGGGAATTCGCTGAAGGTGGTTGAGGGCAAACGAAACGAGATAAGCTTTTGTTTGGAGATGTTTTGTTTTTCAAAAAATTATGAACTTTTAACCAAGAGCAAAGGCGGGCAGATTTGTAGTTCTCACAGAGACGGGATGAACAGAGGGGAGCCGAGTGGTTTAGAGGAGGAGTAGGAGGAGCAGAAATAGTCAAAGAGTAAATGAAAGCAGCCCCCCCCCCACTTCTCCCTCTAAGATGAGAAGAGAAAAGAAAGGATTTGATGTCTCCAGGGGAGGAGGAGGAGGGGTTGAAGGGAGAAAGAGCAGGGGACAAAGTATAGGGATCAGGGAGAAAGTACCAAGAAGAATTGAGGATGAGGGATGTGTTTTTACTTTAGAATCTAGCCTTCAAATAAAACACTAAAGAGGAGGATTTGGTGCTCTCTGGGAATGGCAAGAAGGAGATAGAGGGGATGGGCTGATGTTGATGGGAATGCCTGCAGACCAAAAACTTCAAGTTTAGAGAGTAAACAAGTCATGATTCACTCCGGATGAGAGCTGCAGGGCGTTCTGGGGGTTACACCTTATCCAACATTTCAGGTAGTCGGACTTGGAACCACTTAACCGTCCTAAGGACTGAACGGTTTTGTAATTGGATGTTCGGCTTTAAGAGGAATTTGCATTGATAAGAAAGAATGAGCAACGATGCTACTTCTGTTTAAATGTCGATTAGGACGAAATGACTGAATTTGAAAGCAGGCGACTATTAAAACTCAGCGAGTGCGAATGAGCTGTTCTCCATCTGGTAATAATGAGGCTGTTATTTCATGGCTGTTGTGAGGGTCAAATGAAACTATTTGATAATTTCATTTTTGTAAATGAAATTATACAAAAACCAAAGTGTTTATGTGAACAGAGAGTGCGTTTAGTTTGGTCTGATTTAGTTTTTTTTTGAAGAAAGGTTGATATTAACTGTCCTGAGGGAAGGTGTGGGAGAAATGAAGCTTAGCACCGTCTGTTTCTTCATGTCCACCTATGATGCATCATTTCGTCTTAGCTTCTTAAAGGCTAACACCTTTAATAAAGCACCGGAACTCTTTCTGGGTGATGTCTCCGGGGAGAAGCAGACAAAGGGGGAGCACAGAACAAGGCAGAGAAAGATGGACAAATGCCTGCTCAAAGGGCAAACCTCCAAATGATCTTTTCCTGTTAACTTCCCGTTTGTCTGTGTATGTGTTTTGTATGCCTGTGCACTGGCGCATCTATATTTGTTTGAGTTTGATCCTTCGACTGGAGCACTCTGGATAATTTTCTTTGCATGCCCTTGACTGCCCGCTGTGAATCTTAATTCTCTTTTGGCCCACAGATCTGCCTTTTTAGCAATTTTCAGCATTTTCGCTCTGTCCTGCATTTTTTTTTTTTTTTTGTTAGCTTTGTAATTCAGTCCCCTTCAGGGTTTTTATGTAGGCAACTGTTTGGGATTTCGGCCACGTTTTAGCCCCAAAAGCCAGGAAATAGATTCCTTACTTGGACTGTTTAGAAAGTAGATTTTTGAGAGCGCAGGGCTTTCATACAAGGTTAAACACATACATTTTTAAAATTCTTCTTCAAGACATAAATACCCCCTTTGTTCTATTTTTATCTGTAATTAATAATTTAAATCAATTGTGCACCCAGAGCGCTCAGTCTCTTACAGTATTTCAAGAAAATCTAATAAAATTTGACAGCAGAGAGAGAGAAAAAAAGAAAAGTCCAGAGGCGTGAACTTTAACATCAGCTATCAATGTGCATCATCTGCAGCAGCAGTTTCATTTTTAGCAGCAAATTCATATTTGTGCGTCAAGAATAAGGGCCATATATCAGACTAATTAGGACAGATGACACCAGCTATACCAATAAAGCCTGCATAAAGCTACCTCTAATCACCATTGATCACATCCCATGAGGACACACAGGTTTTAATGAACGTTAATTACATTCAATTAAAATCCATTGAGATTAGTCAATGAGGTGTGTTACCTATAATATTACCCCTCGCTAATATGAACCGCGTGTGATGGCTTGTTTATGCATGTGCATGGTCTGCAGGCGGAGTCCTATCCATCCTGTTAAGCGCGCCGCCGTGTGCAAATGAAGGGGAATCAAAAGAGCTTTGCATGATTGGAAGGCTTAAAAACGATCTCATAAAACACACATAGATTTACGCGCAAACCGCCGTGCGTACACAAACACAGACGATGCGCATATACAAAGAAAGCAAAGGCTGTCTTGGTTGGTGGCGGCATTACCTCCACCAGGGACGATAAACGTCAGTTCTCATCTCGTCACCGTATGACCCTCTGCGCAAGAGGATGAATGGAGATCCATGGATGAAGAGTGGGAGAGAGAGATTGTGTCCTAGGGCTAAAATTAGCAATGATTCTTCCCCCAAGGTTTTGCAAGGACACGCAGAGTACGTGACAACACATGTGTGCACACAACAAACATATGCGCCCGCTCAGACACACACATCTGCGCTTCACCCTCCTCTCTCCCTCCTTCCATATGCTGACATGTATCTTTCATATCTAATTACAGTGTTTGCTTGTGATGTCGACTCCTTTTCGCTGCTCAGTGCGGCGATAATGTAGAGCAACAAAGCTGAAACCACCACAATGTAAAACCGCCTGCATGATATTGTGTAGGTCACTGTCATGCTGCCAAAACAGCACTTCAAGGTAAAGACTCCACAGGAGGTCTGAAGGTGTCTCACGGTATCAGCCACCGAGTCGTTCCCAGAAGATCCTTTGAGTTCTTGAAGGTTCAAGATGGGGTCTTCGTGAATCAAACACAAATGCTTGATCAGATAGAGAACGCTTTAAACTCTTTGACATGTTCCTCAAATCCTTCTTGAACATTTTTTTTTGCTGTCTGGCTCTCCATATTATCCTGCTGGAAGAGGCCACTGCTTCCTGTTGTGAAGGGATATACAGCAGTGTTTAGATGTGTTTCAAATTCACATCCATTTGAAGGCCAGCGTCCAAGTTTTCCCAGCATTCATTGCAAAGATCACCACAATGCCTTCTCCCAGTATACCCTGCTGCCATATTTTCTCCCAAATAAAATGACACATGCACCCATCTGTCTGTACGAGAAGATTCACCAGATCAGGTCACCTTCTTCCGTTGCTCTGCGGCCCAGTTCTGACACTCATGTGCCCATTTTGTTGGCACTTTTGGCAGCGGACGGGGGACAGCATGGACTCTCTGACCAGTCTGCAGCGACGCAGCTTTGACACGCAACAAGCTGCGACGCACTGTGAGTTCTGACACCTTTCTGTCACGGCCAGCATTGAGGTTTTCGGCAATATGTGCTGGTAACTCTTGTGTGGAATCAGACCATATGGGCCAACCTTTGCTCTCTGCATGCCTCGCTGAGCATTGAGCACCCATGACCCTATCACCAGTTTACAGGTTGTCCTTCCTTGGACCACTTTTGGTAGGTACTAACCACTGCATACTGGGAACACCCCACAAGACCTGCTGGTCTAGAGATGCAGTTACCCAACCATCACAATTTGGCCCTCGTCAAAGTCGCTGAGATCCTTATGCTTTCCCTTCTTCCCTGCTTCCAGTACATCAGGTTCAAGAACTGACTGTGCATTTAATGCCCAATATACCCAATGGCATGACAGGTGCCACTGTAGCAAGAATACCCATTTTATTAACAGCAGAACGCCTGTTAGTGGTTTTGATGTGGCTGATCGTTCATATGCTTATAAATTAGAATGAATTTAGGCTTTTTGGAGTGGTATCCAACCAGTTTTTTGTTCGTTGTTTTGTTATTCTCTATATGTTTCTTGTTGTTGGTCTGCTGCAACAATAATGCATGTGTTAATACTGTTACTCACTGTCATTTACGCCCCTACCCTCCTTTTCTCTACCCCCATATTTCCTCCACCTACCCCCGATACCCTCCTTTCCTTCTTTACACCCTTTCAGGAGATCTCAGACTACGACTTACAGGAGTTGGTCATGAAGTCGATCGGTCGGCTGACGTTGGTGCGCCAGATGTTCCCCATGCCCCAGAACACAACTCAGCGCTGCGTCAAGCACAACCACAGGATCAACACTTCCCTCTGTGACCCTAAAAACCCCAAGGCTCAGCAGCTTGAGGTGAGTTGGTGGTTTATCCTAAGGGCGGGTCAGTGATTTTTAAGGATACTGATATTAAGTTGAGAACCTATGTAAGTTTTCAACTGGTTGCAAACAACGATTCTCTGTGCTATGTGTGAATTTAGTCGATAATATGCACGTTTTTGTTTTTTTGTTTTTTCATTTTTAGTTATATAAAAATCCAGGAAGACATAGGGTTAAAGGCAGTAGCAGAAGTCAAGTAAAAAAAAGCCCCAAATCAAGACTTAAGGAACAACCATTCAATCATTACACTAACTAAGGAGTTCTGAAAGAAGTGGTTGAGTTCAGGAGTTGAAATGGTTGCAAAATGTTACAGTCCGAAACAATCAACAGATGATTGATTATAATAAATTAAAGAATCCTTACTCAAAAATATTTGATGGCTGTAGTGGCATTACCCTTACAGTCAGCTGAAAAGCTGCTCATTTGTCACCCCAAAGCCTTAGTCAGTAACATTAGTGCTAGCCAAATAGCCAACGCTACTCTGGGGAGTTGAGGGAAATGGCTTGGTCTTTGACATCTTTTTCCCTTGCTGTTTAACTAACTGGAACGATGACAGGAAAAAGGAAGTAAACGAAACGCCAAAACATTATGAGATTAGGTTTTATTTCTTTAGAAGTAAGACATTGACTGGAAATAACTGATGACCCGCTACATAACTGGTCAACTCTGCAGCTAAGAGGAAACAGCTCCAACAAATGTGAATGAATTTAAGTGGATAAACTTGAACAATATTAGAATGTGTTCATACCCGAACACTTTTTGCAAGTTCGGTAAAAGTCAGAAATTGAAATTTGTCATTCACAGAATAATTTAAACCCTTCTCTTTAGCAACTCCAAATTGTGATTAATAGCGTTCTGTCCCAGGTATCCTTGAGATGTGTCCAGAACATGACTGGTGTTCACCTGTAGAAATTAAATGAATTGGATTTAGTTTAGAAAACCTCATACCTGTATAAAGACCCTGTTAAAAAAAAAACTAAGCCATGGACCTAAAGTAACTCTCTGTAGACCTCCATAAAAAGTCATGGCTAAGGGCAAGGATATAAAACTAGTTCTATGGCATTGAGTGTTATCAGGAGCACAGTGGTCAGAATAAATGTAAAATGTAAGAAGTTAGAGCGAGGCAATGGAGCTGAGCAAGAACCCAACAGAGCTTCAGAAGTTCTCTGTTGAGAAGCAGAACCTGCCGTGAGGAGACCATCTCGGCATGGCCTACTCAACTAGGCCTTTATGGGGTTATGCAGAAGAATTCGACTCTTGACTAGAAGGCAAATAACAGTCTTCTTGTTGGCTAAAAAGGACTCGCTTGAGGAAAAAAGATCCTCTGGTCTAATGAGACTCAAACAGTGAAACACTGTGGTGGAAGCATCATCTTTCCTTCCCAGTGGCAGGGATAGGAAGATTGGTCACAACTGACAGCAGGATTAATGCAATCAAATACAGACAGCTTCCTCAGAGCGCAGCAACCTTAGTCTAGGGCAGCAGTTCACCTTTCAGCACAACAGTGAGACGTAGCATGCAGCCAAGACAGCACTGGAGTGGCTTCAAGACAAGTCTCTGACTTTCTTTGCGTGACCTCGCCAAAACCCAGAGTTAAACCTCAAAGAACATCTGTGGAGAGACCTGGAGATGGCAATTCACAGCTGCTTCTTCTGCTGTCTTGTGCAGCTTGAGAGGATCTGTCAGGAAGAATGGGATAAACTTCCCAAATCCATGTGTGCAAAGCCAGGAGATACTTACCCAAGAAACTGTAATTGCTGCCATAGTGATTTCTACAAAGTACTGAATTGAGGCGCTGAACACTTTCGGAAAGGAGATATTTCAGTTTTAGTTTTTTTAATAGCTTTGCAACCATTGTGGGGAAATGTGTCGTCACTGTGCTGTTAGGGGCTACTGAGTGTAGACTGATGGCTAAAATGGCAAAGCTAGCAATTGAAAATGGAATTTACGGCACAACAAAGTTCAGAAAAGTCAAAGGGTCTGAGTATTTCCCGAAGCAACAATAGTCCAGTACACCAGCGGTCCCCAACCACCGGGCCGTGGGTCATGGGTCATTTGGTACCGGGCCGCACAGAAAGAAGAAAAGAAGTTTTATTGTTTTATTTCCAGCGCAGTCTACAGGGTGTTTTATTTTGAAAAAGATCGTCTTCCCGTCACTTCCATCTGTGCTTGTCTCCCACACTTAACTCTTAGTTTTCATGCTCGGCCGTTAAACGAAGCCGTTAAACAAAGCCGTCAGTCTAACTGCTACTGAAATGTATAAAGAAGCAAACGTCTCCAGAAACTTCTTTGGAAAGTGGGAGAGACTCAATGCTGAGACAGAAGAAAAAGTAAACCCATATTTAGCAAGTCATTTTATTCATTTGTGAAACTTGTTGATAGAAGAAACTATTATTTTTTGTTTGCAATGACCGGTCCGTATAAACATTTCTTGCGTAAAACTGGTCCGTAGTACAAAAAAGGTTGGTGACCGCTGCAGAACACCACCTTGAACCACCTTATACTGCAAAAAATGGAACATTTTAAACTTAGAACGATGGCTCTCAATTGCAATAAAGTGTACTCAGTGTACAGTGTGTTAAACTCCTCCACTGTGGTATAGGTGTGGCTCTTTTTGCAGTAACTGAGCGTTTAACTTTGACACTTACAGTGCCGTTAGAGTCCAGAGTCATTAAGCATTCTGAAGCACATGTACAGAGTGAAAAAATCCTCTCAAATTTAATTGACATTTTATTTAAACACTGCCCCTTTAAGGCCCCAAACTACTTTTGTACTTAATAGCTCTCCTTGCCTGTCTTTAAACACTCATATTTTAGTTTGACATTTCAGCATGTCTCCTAATATGAATTGTCTTTGTCACTGCGTGTGTCTGTGAAGCTCTTTACCTGCAACATCAATCATTTTTACAGCACTTGACCCACAAATTTATGTGTGTTCATCGTAGACCTCCCAATTTATCTTATGGTTCGGTCGTGGAAAACACACAGTGACACTTTGTTTTTTCCATTTTCACATTTTCTTTATGTTGTGTCTCCTTGTTTTTTTTTAAATGTCCCCCAGGGTGGCAATATGTATGCAATTATTATTCCTTTTTGTGTGTACGTGAATCATCAAGCTGCCATCAAACAGAGCGAAGAAAAGGGTGCACAGTCTTATTTATGTGTCAAGAAAAAAATATGAAATTGAATTAATGTGCTGTTGATTTATGTGGATGCACAAGACCCCGGAGGAGCACATTTGATGAACGTTGGAAATACGTTGAAAACAGAAATGTGGTCGTAATGTTTATGTGGATATCTCCCTTTGAGGTTGCATCCCAGCGAACAGACAGAAGATAGAATGTGTGTCCATACCCTGCATAATTCACGTTTATTTGTTTTTTAATGAAATAAAATAACAAATGCCTAAAAGGTTAATAAACGTTAAATAACGTACTCCAAAAAAAAACTTGCCTCGCGCGCCCTGATATGAATCAAGTGCTTCTCGAGTGTAAAAAAGAACGAAGCCCTTCCGACGTATTCATTATTTGCTGGATGGAGGCCAGTCGTTGGTTCTGAGTGCTGAGGGGATGCATGTGCTTATGCGCCGCATTCGTGTGCATGTGCGAATAACTCATCTCAGTCAAGGGCAATGTGTTTTTGTGTGTCTGACAAAGAGGGTGAGCTCACAAACCGCTGTGGGTGTGCGGCAGAAACATGTTGTACACATGTTGATTTTGATGACCCGTGTGTGGGGGAGTGTGTGTGGGTGTGTGTGAGCGGCTGAATTCCAGAGAGGAAGAGGAAATGAGGAATGGGATGGACAGAAAGACGCACACACTCACCCACAGAGGAGAGAGAGAGAGAGGGAGAGATATTGAGGAAGCAGATCAGCTCAGCGGTCAGAGAGTGGCCCAGAAGCCCAATTTCACACTGCACTGAATCAACTCAGGCTGACCACACAAGCACACACACACACACTCACGTATAATGCTGGCTTGGAATGCTGAACCCGAGCTCCCCACAGAGCGATAGATTTTCACTTTAATTTTCTGAGAAAAAAAAGCAACAGACACAACGACAGAGAGACAAAGACGGGCTGAAGACAAAAAGCCAAGATGCTTCGAAAGAAAGTGAGAGAAGTTAGATGTGAGATGAATGTGACGCTTTCTTTTGTCCTGCTTGTCAGGAGACTATTTGCTAAGTAACAAGGAACAAAGTGTATCTTGTCGTCTTCTTATGATCCCTCATGTCACTTTAAGACATGGGAAACCTTGGCCCTGTTCCCTCTTGGTTCCTTTCATTTTAGAATAATGTGATAGAAGGAGAGTGATAGACTGAACAAACAAAATACTGAACACATGTCTTCAC